ACAAAAAAAAACGGAATATTTCAAATTTTTCCACTAACAATTCTAGTTGGATTACAATAGTAGGTACACTGAACTTAGTTTTTATCCCGTCTGCAGTCTAGAGCGTTAAACTTAAGAAATGTCTGACCTGCTGGGATGAAATCACTTAAGTCCTGATAACGATTAACATAAAGACGTGCACACTAAACTATGCACCGTGCGAATGAACTTTGCTAAATAGATTTGTAAATCTTATATATAAAATTCTCATGTCACAATGTTAGTTACCATACTCCACGGAAAAGGCTTGACCGATTTTTATGAAATTTTATATATCAGTAGGTCTGAGAATAGGCTACTATTTATTCTTTAATCCCGCGCGGACGTAGTCGGTCGTATTATATAAAATGCATCTTAAACGTGTTTTGTACACGTTAGAAATTACCAACGTTTGTAAACAAATCTAAGCAAATGTACATAACCCTTTCGTGTATCAGCTCTACGTATAAAGGGGAATACATTCAATATTTCCGTTACGCAATTATGTGCAATGCGTACATATAAACACATGTTTATATTAAACATAATTTTAATATCGTAATTAAGATATCTTGGTAATACCACAGTTTTTAATAATATTACGACATAAATTATCTCAAAGACTTGCATGGTAGTCTTAGAGACTTGGACTGTATAGTAGATATTTAAAGTATTAAATTTTGGTATTTTGGTAGTAACCAACATGCTCAACTTTTCCCGCATAAATAAGTACATATATTTATAAAAAAAATAGGTAAAATCAATTAATTTAGAACAAAGGTATTCTTGTTTAAATAATTTTTAAAGTCGTCTATTTTTACTATGCCGAAAAACTTTAAAATGTCTTTGAAAATATAAGTTTGAACTTTTGCTTTTTACTTTTACTATAGAAGCAAAAGGAAATTCACGGTAAAATAGAATCGGAAATACAACGAACAAAATGAAAGAAACAAAGAGCATTGGCAAGTTGCGAGCTTGCAACACATGTGGAAAGGCAAAATGAGAAATAGATTCTTCAAAGAAGTGGTTGACTTTCACAACAGATTTCATAATGTTAAAATATTTCATAATATTTTTATTAAATTTATAATAACAAAAGCGCAGTTGCCTTTCATTTTTGACTTTGTATCAGAAATAAAATCCTTTGTTGATATAAATAGTTACATTAATAAAAACAAAACTTATAACCGGACTGTGTTATTTCAAACAATTCCAGTTAAGCGTTTTTTATAATACATTTTATATTAATTTCAAATTTAGTAAATTTTAACATCTTAACCTTTTTACTCTAAAGACGGTTGGCATAACACATTCTCTTTGATACAATTTTATCTACCGTCGTATTATTTTTTCCATCCATCCATAATTTTTTCGATTTAAACTTTTGTAACCATTCGATCTCTTTACTTGGTTTGTGCATTATTCCCCGCATTATATAATATCCATATCACGCTAATGTTTTGCTTCTCAATTTCTATATCAGTGTCACAAAAGTTATAAGGATATCTCGACCTAGATATTGTAGTCAGGTGAAATCCGCAGAGGGCTGTCTAAGATTATCCACTCAAGGGGATAAGCTCCGCTCACCGTTCATTGGATAGAATATAATTCATCGTATAAATATAAATAAAATTGATTAATACTAAAACTAGGCTAACAAACAGAAATATTTTATTAATTGATTTTTTATTATGAATAGAAGCAATTGGGAGTATAACTAAAAGCAATGTCCATTATATTAGACTGAAGTATAATTTACCAAATAAAAATAAGCAATTCCCCCCGTTTTAAATGTTGTGTATATACATTTTATGCTTTCTTATTTACTAATTATTAATCTTTTCAAAGGAAAATAATTCTTTCAGATAGGCAAACACATGAAGAATAACTCTCAAATGTTTCAACAGAATTGGAATAACGGTTTGAGAATGACTTCGTTGGAGAAGGAATTCTTGTTGCATAGAGCAAAGGTATTTATTCATTTATAAGTATTCATTCATAAAACTCTATTCGTGAGAATTTATTAAATGAAAACTGAGGTTCACGAAGTTATTGAGATGAAGTGCGGTGGCACGTAATTCATTACAGCGTTCTATTTACGCGCACCACAAGTGTTAGTTGTATGTTTAAGATATGATGAATAGATTTTACGAAAGTCCCAACTTTAATCTAATTTAATACAAAAAAATGTTATTGATTTTCAATATTAAGTAGATAATTTACAATTTATTTTTTACGCGACTCTTTTCGTGTACATAAAAAATATACAATAACTTAAAGAAATATTCTGTTAATTTGGAAAGTAAGTAAAGCAGTAGAAATATTAGCTACATCAGTATCTGGGTACAAGAAAATTTATTAATAATAAAAAAATAATTCTTTAAGTTTTCAAATTGTATTATTTTTTTTTTTGTAACTATAATGCATGTGAAATTGTAACTTAAAACACCGCGTGAACCACAAAGTAAGCTTTTACAAAATTTACAGCCAACATCACGCAAGCCGTAACCCAATTATGATTTTAACTTATAATATTTACTTTATACTTAATCAGATTTACGATTTACTGCAAAATATACTTCTAACCACGGCTCAAAAATTACTGAAAATGAGTACAAAAGCAAAGAGAAAAATTAAGAATTAAAAATCATAGTATCGGTATGTTATGAGGAGGGAAGAATAACTTATGACAAGGAGAACTTTAATTATGAGTGTGGAGGGGTACATTGGTAGAAGTAGCCATAGGAAGAGATTGATGTATTGCATGAAAGGTGACAGACCAAGAAGGGAGTGAAGACCGAAGAAAGATTTATATGGAGGACAAAGAAATGGTCTTCTGGGAGATGATAATGTAAGCTAAGCCTCATAAACTATAAGCATTTTGCAAATAAGGACTTTAACCCCCAATATGTCAAAATTAATCTTAACGTCCTGTTTCATATGAAGTAAATCTCTTCAGAAGCTTATTAATAAACCTAAGCCTAAAATATTAACAAGCCTTGACAACTGAATGGAATTTCAGTTTTCTGGAAAGCGATGTTATACGGAAAACATAAAAATGTTAGTCCTTAACTTGCACGTAAAGCGATTAGCGAGTCGTCGGAGGGTCTTCAAACACGAACCGTTTCTAAGCAAGGAATTTTTAACACTATATCCACAAATACGAGTGTACAAAAATTTTTAATCTTATATATAAAATTCTCGTGTCACAATTTTCGTTCCTATACTCCTCCGAAACGGCTTGTCCGATTCTCATGAAATTTTGTGAGCATATTGAGTAGGTCTGAGAATCGGCCACGGACCTGCTCGGTTGTCCGGGTGGGCGGAGAGGTGAACTCCGACGTGGCGCGTCCCCGGGTGGTGGATAGGGGAACGCCCCGGTATTCGTGTCGGGGTAGGGCGCAAGCCCCGCGAACCAAACACCAGGGTCTGGCGGTGCGCGCAGGACTAGTCGACGAGGTGTCGATAGGTCTAGCGCGCTAGCCGGACCCGGGGCCTGGTGGAGCGCGCAGGACTAGTCGATGGTGTCCCGACAGGTCTAGCGCGCTAGCCGGGCCCCAGACCGGTGGAGGCGCCGGAGGTGGACGATTGTCCGCCACCGTGCTGCCTATGGTGGTGGGGCCGCGGGGGATGCGGGAAGGGTACTGGTTTATCCTGCCCTTCTTGCATCCCTCGTGGCCGGAGGAGGTGGTGGGGCCGCGAGGGATGTGGGAAGGGTACTGGTTTATCCTGCCCTACTTGCATCCCTCGTGGTCGGAGTTGAGGTGTGGGGCCGCGAGGGATGTGGGAAGGGTACTGGTTTATCCTG